CCCCCCCCCCCCCAGATTGGAAGTTTGTCGGGTAAATGACCCAGAAAATGGCTTCCGATTCATGTGGGAGGACTCCGCACTTTCCGGGAAAATCAGAGAACGGAGCTTTAGTGAGATGTGAGCGAACTGCCGCGGTGCGGATCTCTCCGCTTCACCATTTAAGTGCCAGAGAGACCTTGCCCCACCCCCAATCCATGGAGATCACTGGTCTAATGACGTAGGAGCGCAGAGAGAGCGCGCACGGAGCCTGAGCACACAGGACACGACTTCCGGGGCGTTTTTTGGGCGGGTTTCAGCACACACCGAGCTGGGGGTGGGGCTTCGGCAGAATGGGGCAGAGCTTCGGCAGGACTGGGAGGCGGAGCTTCGGCAGGCTGGGGATGCCTCACCCAGCCCAGAAGGCACGTCACGGATGCACACTCAGGAGCTGAGAGACACCGTAGGGTCCAGTTATAAACGCTTATTTCCTGTGCTCCTCGGCTCCCTCTAGTGGCCATTATGTTGCATTACATCACAATACGTTCGAATGGAAAATAAAGTTGAAGGAGAATGTTTATTTTTGCCGTTATTCACACCAAGTGAACGTTTCATTTATAATTGGATCCCGTCGTGTGTTATCAGAATGAGGTCAGCTGACAGGATGGCGAATGTCAGAGTTCCGGGTCCTTACAGCTCTGAGTCTCGGCCACATAAGGGGAGAATAGGAAGGATGTATAATAAGAACGCACAATTGTAACAATGTAACAGGAAATATTCCCATTCTTGGGGGAGGTTTCTTCACTCACATCGGTCACGTGATCATTTGCAGCGCATCGCAGCGTTCCCATAAGATGTGCGGCTCTCTGCACGATGCTGCCAGTGCGGTCACCCTGAGGGCTTGTTCACACCAAATGCAGACCAGATCTGCATGAGTGCCTGCACACTCAGTGAAGCGTTTTTTGTCGCGTTTTTGATGCGTTCCGGGCCGTTTGTGCAAAAAAAAATATATATATTTTTTTTATAGTTTCAAATGGGCTTTCAGTGCGTTCCAGGCCGTTTGCATGCGTTTTTGATCTGTTTGCCTGTCCAGAGCAGGTAAAATAGGGCTTGCTGCAGTTTTTTTACCTGCTCCGGGACTGAACGCTGCGGTGTGTGAACTAGAGCCCAAAATACAATTGGAATACATTGGACGCAGTTTTGATCCGGTCTGTAACTGCTCTGCATCTGCTCCTGGAACGCGCTTGGTGTGAACAAGGCCTCAGGGCTTGTTCACACCATTTTCATGGTGTGATCTGCGGACGCGGTGCTATGCGCGCAGTGCGTTTTTGACGCGTTTTTACCGCGTTCCAGTTAAAAAAAACACGAGTGACACGTTTTCATGCGTTTTTGACGCATTCGTGCGTTTGCGGTCCGTTTCCGTCCCGGAGAACACGTGACGTGCAGTATTTTTTCTGTCCAGACCGGAACGGACTCTGCTGATGAGAACGGTAGCCCATAACACATATAGGGGAGACATTGGGGTGCATTTTGGGTGCAGGAGCGCACGGTTCTGGTCCGGACAGAATCCGAACATGGTGTGAACAAGCCCTCAGGACATGTCAGAGGATGCCGTTTTCTTGCCAATAATGTGACTTCTGC